TACGATTAAGGAGGACGTTTTCAGCTTTGTAAAGGACTTTCATTCTATGACTAGATTGCTTAAAGCTTGTACTGCCTCCTTCTTAACCTTTATTCCCAAGGTATCCAATCATCAGTCTTTAGCAGAATATAGACCGATTTGTTTTGTAGGTTCTCTGTATAAGATATTAGCTAACCTCTTAGCATTTAGATTAAAAAGGGTCATTAGAAAGTTGATTTCTCTGAAACAATATGCTTTTGTTCTTGGCCATAATATCTTGGATGATGTTTTGATGGTTAATGAGTTGATTGATTTAGAGAAAAGAGATAAAAGGAGATGTACGGTGGTGAAAGTGGATTATGAAAAGGTGTATGACAATGTAAGCTGGGGTTACTTGAGATTTTTTCATTTAGATGGGTTTTGGTGACTTATGGATTTGTTGGATGGAAGCTTTTGTTTTCAATAGCACTATGTTCGTGCTAGTCAATGGAAGTGTTACTAAAGATTTCAAGGTGGAGAGAGGTTTAAGACAAGGAGACCGCTTTCTCCGTTTTTGTTTATTATTGCTATGGAAGGCCTCACGGGGTTAATCAATAGAGCTATGGACCAAGGAGATTTTCGTGGTTTTCAAATCAATGAGAAGCAGTCGATTGACATTTTTACAATTTGCGGATGATACCATTATTCTACGAGATGTCAGCCTTGATAACTTATGGAGTTTGAAGTCAATCTTGAGAGGCTTCAAATTAACTTCGGGGCTTAAAGTTAATATGTGCAAAAGCAACATTTTTGGAATATACATGGGTGATTGAAACTTGGAAGCCAGTTCATCTTTTCTTACCTGCAATATTGGAGCCTTGCCTTTCAAGTTTTTAGGTGTCATGGTGGGAGATAGTCCTAAAAGAGGTAGTGTGTGGAAGGACGTTATTCGCAATTGCAGGAAAAGCCTTTCATCTTGGAGAGGGAGACATTTATCTTTGGGAGAAAGAGTAGTTTTGATCAATTCGGTGTTAAATGTTATATCAATTTTTGTTTTGTCCTTTTATAAAATGTCGGTTAAGGTTCTTAAAGAAATTCATAGCATTCAAAGCAACTTTTTGAGGAAAGGTCTGAAATTAAAATATCTATTTACTGGGTTAGTTGGCAAGTTATGTGAAATCACAAAGGAAATGGAGGCCTTGATATTAAAGATATTGAGGTTTTCAATAGGGCTTTGTTATCTAAATGGAAATGGAGGATTTTGAAAGAGAATGAGGCTATTTAGAGCATATTGTTGCGCTATAGATATAAGAATCCGGAAGTGCAGCTGCTTTCTAGCAATAGTAGAGATATTAATAGAGGTGACTCAATCTGGTGGAGGGATCTAGTATTGCTAGACAGCAACTTTGTGGCCTCAGAACAATTTTTTTCTAACCATATTTATTGCAGGTTCAAAGATGGGACTAGGACTTTCTAGTGGGATAGTAAGTTGTTATGCAACCAAACTCTTAAGATGCTTTCCCGGAGTTTTTCGACATAGAAGCGGACCATTCTATGAGCGTGGCAGAAGCGTGCGTCTGGGATGAAGGTTCCTGGATTTGGAATTTTCGATCCATGTTCACTGAAGCAGCTGTAGGGGACAGTAACAAGTGGGAGTTCTTCCAATCACAGCTTTCGGCCGTAGCATTGTCACGAGATGGTGATGATGAGTTCGCTTGGAGTCGATAAGACAACAAATTTTTTTCAGTGAAATTGTGTTTTGAAGCTTTTGTAGTAAGGGGTGTTGTTGGTTGGGTTTCTACTGATACGAGGTATGCTCTATATTACCTTTGGAAAGTCAAGATTTCGTCAAACATTCTTATGTTCAGGTGGAGATTGATTCTTAATAGACTTCATACTAGAGACCTCTTTTATAGTAGAGGAAATGTGGAAGATGTGAGTGACCTTTCTTGTGTTTTTTGTAACGAGAAGCGGAATCAAGAGATCATCTCTTAGGTAGTTGCTATTTTAGTAATAAGATTTGAGTTTTTTTACGAATTTCCAGAAGGTGAAGAACAAGGATGACTCTAGATTGGTGTATGTAATATGGCTGGCTACGACTTAGTCTCTTTGGTTGCAGCGAAATGCCATTATCTTTAACGATGAAATCCTCAACTTCGACGAGTGTTTATCGACAGTCAAATTCTCCTCTTAAAAATGGCTTAATGTAAGTAGAAATTTACCTTTGTTCTCCTTCAAAAAGACTAGTTTGGATTTGTAGGTGAGTGTGAGGACCCCTTGTACTCTTTTTTAATGATCATTGCCTATTAAAAAAAACATTTTCTATTAAACAAATGATATTAACGTTATGTAAGAAACGTTTTGTAAGCTTAACTATTAGTAAGAAAATTTTCCAATATTTTGTATTATTGATTATAATATGTGCACTAGAACAACTAGTGAGTTAATTGGATGAGAATGCTTACTAGGGTTCAAGCCTTACTGATGATGGCTGTCAGTTGAATCCAGCATTAAGGCCTTTTATTCTTATCCTATACTAGCTAGAGCCAAATTGGAAAATCTAACCTTTCGAAACTCTAAAGATTTTCTTTAATATATAATCTTCTACACAATCTCATGTGAATCACTTAATATTAAGCTGCTATTAAATTATTCACACAAACAAAGCACAACTGAGATACTTTTATACAATATTATGCAAGTGCTTTCCAATACACTTATCATATATTTTACTCACAAAAAAGCATTCCGATTTATTTTTTCCACACTATATAATGTATCACATACATAGAACAACTCAAACAAAACAAATATAACAAAATAGAGTCCTTTCAAAAAAACAAGAGTGTCTAGTTATTGATATTATACTTCAATTTTTCAATGGATCCATCCCATATACATGCTTATGCAAACTTCACATGCGAACTAAGAATAATACAAGCTCGAAACGTCGAATTCATCAAGTCCACTAAAAACTTGTTTGCTAGGTTGTATGTTCCAACAGGAAACAACAAAAGAATTCAACTCAACACCAAAAATGTTTGGGACAAATCTTTTAATCTAGATTGCTCTTGCCCACAAGAATTCTTGGAAAACCTTAATGAACAAAGCCTAGTGTTGGAGCTAAGGCAGAGGAAGATGTGGGGGTCACAACTTATTGGAAAAGGTGAGATTCCATGGAAGGTGATTCTCGAATCACAAAACATGCAGTTAAAAAAATGGTTGAAAATGGATTTGATGAGTGGAAGTGATTGCAAAGAGGTTATGTTGACAACACCAGAACTGGAAGTAGAAATTAAAGTAAAAGTGTCGTCGGTTGCTGAGATAGAGAAGCAAAATAAGAAGCGGTTTAATAATTGGAATGAGTGTGGATGTAAAAATGGGCATGATCATAATGCTTGGTGCAATATTGCTGAAGACTGTGATATATTTGCGCTTGGTGCAGCTTTGGAGGCTTTTTGATTTTGATGCAAGATTATGCTATAGACATATATGAACTGACATAAACTAATTAGCTTATCATTATACTGAATAGATTTTTTTTTTTGACAATATTAATTTATAACTGATTGGATGTATTACAGTTTCATTATTAATTTGGGCCTACTATCAAATCACTTAGCAAATCTATTATCTTTTAATTTTATATATTAGAATTGTATATTTGGTTACACTAATACAAAAAGATTAATTTACATCGGTTTCTTATTAAATTTATATATATATATATATATTAAATTTAATAAAAGTTGATTGTATATTCATCGGGTGAGAAATCTCTAACGTATTTACATCCGTTTAAAAAACGGGTGTAAATCTGTTTTATGTTACACTCTTTTTTAATAAAAATCGAGTGTAAATATGTTCTACGTTACACCATTTTTATTAAAAATCGGGTGTAAATAAGTTTTCAATTTCACCTAATTTTAATAAAAATCGGGTGTACATACATTCTTATTTACACTCTATTTTAATAAAAATGGGGTGTAATTACACTATTTTTTAATATAATTTTACATCCTTTATTTAATAAAAATCTGATGTAATTACACAATTTTTTAATATGATTTTACACCATTTTTAAATATCATTTGCACCTTTTATGAATGAACAAATTATATTATATTTAATTCCATTTATACCCTATTTCATATGCTACATTACACCTTATTTTAGTTATTACATTTCTTCATATTTCATGTACTAAGAAGTCATAATATTTCAAATACTATAAATCATGCACATAAAAATCATATTTCATGTACTAAGTCATAATATTTTTCATATTTACCAAAAAGTATACAAAATCATATTTTTGTTATAAGAAGTCATAACATTAACAACAAAATATTCAACTAACTCATAATATTTAATGTCACTTTCTTCATATATAAGTTTTATTCTTCTTCTTTCGCTTTTGTTTTGCCAAAATTTCTTTGTCCTTATCCTCTTCAACCATTTGCATATGGTCTTGTAGCAGGCTGCAACAAGAGATAAAGAGTTACAAATGATGTTTGAGTGGTGAATCAAACAGTATAGAATGGTTCGTGTAATACTTGAATGAAAGCGCCTTTTGTATATACTATGTAGCGATAAAGCTCGTTGTTACATGCTCTAGTTGTTTGGGCAGTAATGCACTGAAAATCACCATTCAAATTGTATTGCTTCATTAGATCATGCATCTTCTCAATCTCTGCAATTTCTTCTGTTACTGGACTTTTTGACATTGATATAACCAGCTACTACGACAAGGTTGACAAGTTCCCTCATGAGGTAACATGTGATTTACTTGAAGACTACTTGTTTGTGGACAGCTGATGCAGGAAGCACAACTAACCCAAAGAACATCACTTCAAGTATCAATATGCACATAAAATTCTATCGACGAAGTACACAAATTCACTTGCGAACTGTTTTTCCTACAGGCTCACTGCTAATAGATGCGAGTAGAATAAAAAATGTACTCGTCTTCATTTTCTCCACGAAGCATCTCTGTTCTAGCACTGTCTATGACTTCCCTTGCATACTCACATATAAAAGTTTCATCTCCAATAGCATCCCACGATCTTAGACTTGTAAATATTATTTTTGAACCTATTCATACACATTGCATTAGGACGGATATTAAATCAGGTTGAATTTAAGATATTCAGAGAATGAGAAGCCATAAAATGCAGGCATAAGAAATAAAAACTTACAAGCTGTTTCCCGTCAAAGAAGATGCAAACAAGTTTCTGTGGCATAAGAAAGTTAGCAGAGGATCGGTCGTTTCATGAAAATACAAAACAAGAAAATCATGAAATTAAATGAAAAGTGAAAAACCACAATGCTAGGACTCTTACGCACTTCCTTGTTGACAAGTTTCCTGCTCAAAGTTTGCTAAAGTGAAGTTGTTATACGACAGACCTCTGCATAATGATATACAATATCTGTCAAAATCTTAGATGATGATGCAATTGATCAACTTCATGGAACAATTGATAGCTCATTCCATACAAAAAGCCGATATATAATATTGACGGCTTATGCAATTTCACATTTTAGCAATTAGCATAAGAGACAACTTACACAAAGTCGGGTTTAACTATCCAGTCAGGCAGCGGTCCAGACAGCTGATTCCCAGATAAAAATAAGCAGCAAGAAATAGAAGCAAGAAGCATCAGCAAAACACCAAAAAGAAGCAAAAGACAGCGAACACCTTTCGAGCGAGGACAAAATCCGCATTTTTCTTCATTTCACCCGATAAGCACTCCTCAAATTTAGCTCTAGGATTCTATGAAACCAAAGCCAATTCTGAACCAAAACAAACCTGTACTGAATTAACACCATAATTCTGAAATCAAACCTGATACACGTCGAATCACAAAACACAAAATCGAAAGAGAACCAGATTGATTCAAAAACTCTGAGTGGAGTCCAAACCGCAGCCTGTCAAAGCGAGTGAATTCCAAAACGTAAATTGATTCTGAAACGAAAATGTCAAAATTCAACTTTACTGCAGAGCCAACTTACATATATTATTACAAACCTTATGTACCATCCAACAGGGCTGGAAGCAGTTTTTTCATAAGATTGAGCTTGCTCCAGGAATGCATCAACATTTAGTTGATCAGCCAAAGATGGGTTTCCACTGGCTAATTTCATAAGCTCAGAGATGACAAACTTTTACACGGTTAAGAAATGAATATTTATAATTAAAACAACAAATATTACATAAATTCTGATCAAACCAATGTATAGATAAATTATAAAATTTGACAAGACGATACTTTAGTGTCTTAAGAAAAGAGAAGAGCTGCACGATCACAAGTTAACTCAGCTGCTCAAAGTCGGCGGAATATCTGCTCTTCTAGTGTCTGAGCTATAATACCTTCAATGCCTAAAACAAATTGAATTAATCACCAAATAATCATTCAGGAGGACAGACCAAAAATGAATTTTCTCATCAGCAATAAACAAGCTGGAACAGGTGTAGTTAGGTGCAAATCTATTTTCAAAATATGCAATGTTTTCAAAAACTTAAGAAAGGATTGGAAATAAGGTTTATGACATTATAATTAAGTCTTATGATCATTATGTGGTAAGATACTAAGAGTAACATTGATTTCATTCCTAGTCAGTCAATAGGTGTTAGACAAAAAGTATTTTTCCTACTTTAAAAATCTAACATAGTGTTAGGTTAGAATTTTCGCAAAAGATTAACATCCAACCAAAAGTTAAAAAAGTTCTTTGAGAATTCTGAATTATAGGAAGTAGACTACAGAAACAGTTGATCGGGAGAGATTTCACAAAAAGTAAATTGGACTTATGGACGCAGTCGACCAGAAAAGAGGCCTCATGAGAAATCGACTGGGCCCATGAATGTTAAAAAGCCCAAAGAATGCATAACTAGTAGAACAAAGTGTTATGGATGGAGAATGTGAGTTCGATAGCAGGGATGGAGAACGTGGGTTCATGGAGGAAAATTACAAGAGACATGTGACTTCTAAAGAAGCAAAACCCGTTGGAAAGTAGTTATTTTTGTGTATTATAAATAAAGCATTTAGTGCATAGTGTCAAGGGTTCAAACTTTCACATTCCTACACGCTAGTCACTCATATTATCCATGCGAATGAGCGAAATGAGTCAAGCAAGGGAAATGTACGTTTGAATCAACCCATTTTCAACTATTTTTATGTCATGTCATCTATTTTTACCGTTTAAAACGTCTTTTGTTTTATTTTATAAGTTTTGTTTTATTGATTTTAAATTTGTTTCGCTTTAGTCGAACGAACCCTTTTGAACATACTTTATAAAAACACTCGAAAACTGAAGCATTGTATTGAAATTCTCTAGTCGATCTCGCCAGTAAATTTTTTAGTAAGAAATCAACGCTATTTGCCAAAACCATAGATAAACACATAATTAAACACTTCACCATTGTTTATAAACATATAACCATGTACCGTATACACATTATTAAAACATGAAAAATGCTCTGTTTAATAAGCTCAGATTGTTGATTAAGAATGTAAAAAGAATAGAACATGTTGTTACTTGCTTCTTTTAACCTCTAGAGATACCCCTTCTCATTTCATCACCAACCATAATGCCAACACAAATATCCAATACAAGCATTTGTTAACATGATAAACTTTAGCTTTTAGAAAAGTGGATAAGTTTGAATAAACAAGTTAGTTAATCTTTAATAGCATAATTTCTTACAATATAAGTTCTTATCTAAAAGCTATTTTTAAAAGAAGATAAAAAAGTCAAACTATTTTAATAAGCTACCATAAAAATAAGCTTAAAATAGCTTGTTGACTTGTGATATTTTGTTTCGATAAAATTTTTTCAAAAGTTGTTTCATAAGAACGAATGCTAACTAATAACTCAATAAGTCAATCCAAATGCAGTAGCCTTCATGAAAGCATCAATCTCAGATCTGGTTTGATTCTAGCTTCTCTCTTCCTTCTTGAAAGTTCCATCAACATTTCATACCTTGTGACAACACCTAAACAACGTGATGAAAAATCCAATGTCTCTCTCACCGTGACTTCTCCATAGTGAATGTCATGTTGGCGATTTTGTATCACCAATGTATTTTAGTAGTAATGTGATTTCTAAAGGTCGATGCAATTATGCGTTAAGTTCGGAGACGAGTTAGGGAAGTGCGGAGTGCACGCTCGTCGAGCCAACACATAATTGAATACGAATAATTGAAATGGGGTTCCAAGGGGCGAAGCCCCTGGCGGGATGCGGGGCAGCGCCCCGTTGGGGTTCCAAGGGGCGAAGCCCCTGGCGGGGTGCGGGGCAGCGCCCCGCGGGGTCCAAGGAACATAACTGTTCCCCAACGGACATAACTGTTTCCCAACGGACATATTCGTTTCGAACAAATGTGTCTCTTCGTTTTAATTACTGTTCTCCTATATAAGGAGTCGTTCGGCCTCGGTCTCGCATACAGAAAAACGCATCCTTCTCTCTATAATTACAATTCGTTTCTTTTGTCGGAAACAGAATTTCTTCGAGAATTATCCCCACAAAGATTTCGTGAACCCAGACAAGAATAGGGTCGAAATACTTTGTTCGGAAAGTGTACGAACACGATTCATCGAAGTTATCCAAGATTATCACACCCTAAATTTCTAACAAACGAACAAAGTAATTTTTTTCTGATAATCATGGCTGGAGGAAGCACCATCAAGGAGATGACAACAAAGTTCGAAAAATTGGACAAGTTTCAAGGACAAGATTTCAGGCGTTGGCAGAAGAAGATGCACTTCATGTTGACAACGTTGAAAGTGGTACACGTCCTGTCTACACCGATTCCAGAACCTCGTGAGGATGAATCAGTCGAAGATATAAGACGCAAATCAAAGTGGGAGAACGACGACTACATATGCAGAGGGCACATTCTTAACGGTATGTCTGATCCCTTATTTGATATTTACCAAAACGTGGAATCTGCTAAAGAATTGTGGGATCAACTCGAATCCAAGTACATGGCAGAGGACTCATCCAGTAAAAAGTTTCTGGTAACCGATTTTAACAATTACAAAATGGTTGAATCGAGGTCTGTCATGGAACAATTCAATGAACTCCTTCGAATCCTTGGACAATTCACACAACATGGATTGAATATGGATGAAACAATATCTGTCTCAAGCATCATAGACAAATTGCCTCCTTCGTGGAAGGATTTCAAACACAATCTGAAACATGGAAAAGACGAACTGTCTTTGATCCAACTTGGAAGTCATTTGCGCATAGAAGAATCTCTAAGAGCGCAGGAAGATGACAAAGGAAAAGGCAAAGGAATTGCTGGACCCTCGGTTAATATGGTCGAAGAGGGTGGTAAGAACAATAACAACAAAAACAAAGGAAAGAAGCGTGCCTTCAAGAACAAACAGGGCGGTTTCGGTAATAATAAGAAACCAAAACTAGAATGCTGGAAGTGTGGTAAAACAGGCCACTTCAAGAGGGACTGCCGTTTCGGTAAAAAGAACGACAACGCGAATGCAAGTGGTTCAGGAAAGGGGTCCAAGGACCACTCCGAAAACCAAGGTCAGAAATCAATTCGTGATTTGAATAGTTTGATTAAACATTCGGTTTCACTAAATTCTGAAGCATTTTATGTGCAGGATGATGCTGCCGCGTGGTGGATTGATTCTGGTGCCACAACACATGTTTGCAAGGATCGTTTCTGGTTCAAGACTCTTGTTCCAGTGGAAGATGGTTCTGTCCTCTACATGGGAGATGATCACTTCGCTCCCGTTGAAGGCAAAGGAAACGTGGTGCTAGAATTCAGTTCTGGAAAGACTATTACTTTGTTTAATGTATTGTATGTTCCTAAATTACGTAAGAATTTAATTTCTGGTCCTGTATTAAACAAGCTTGGATACAAGCAAGTGTGTGAATCCGATAAATATGTATTATCGAAGTCTGGTGTGTTTGTAGGATTTGGATATTATAATAATGGTATGTTTATGATGAATTTGAATGGAGTTCCTAATGAATCTGGTTCTGTTTTTATGTCCTCGTCAAATGTTATTAATTTTTCGTTATGGCATGCTCGTCTAGGACATGTACACTATAAAAGAATGCATGAAATGTCTAAAAATGATTTAATTCCTAATTTTAATGGAAATGTAGAAAAGTGTAAAACTTGTATGTTAACAAAGATCACTAGGCAACCTTTTAAAAGTATAACAAGGAAATCTATCATTCTTGAATTGGTACATAGTGATTTATGTGATTTGCATGCTACTCCTTCGTTAGGGCATAAAAAGTATTTTATCACCTTCATAGATGATGCGTCTAGATTATGCTATGTTTATTTGTTGCACGCTAAGGATGAAGCCTTAGGTAAATTTAGAATCTATAAAACTGAAGTTGAAGTGCAACAGAATGTACTGATTAAAACATTACGTACAGACAGAGGTGGTGAATATTATGATCCTGTGTTTTTCCAGTCCGTAGGAATCATTCATGAAACTACGACACCTTATACACCTCAACAAAATGGTGTGGCTGAAAGGAAAAATAGAGTTCTTAAGGAAATGGTGAACGCCATGTTATCCTACTCTGGTCTGAGTGAAGGGTTTTGGGGAGAAGCTATGTTAACGGCTTGCTATTTGTTAAATAGGGTTCCTAATAAAAGGAACAAGACTACCCCATATGAACTTTGGTATAAGAGACGACCCAACTTAACATTTCTACGTGTTTGGGGTTGTAGGGCCGTGGTTAGACTCCCGG